GATAGTGATCGTTTGAGCAGATCAGCCATTGTGTATCCTTTGCAGCACTATGGTCGGCCAACAACAAGAGGGCCAAAGGCCTGCGTGCATCGGGAATCGGGTCAGTTAGTTGTTCACGACACGAGATATTTCGACCGTTGGGAACGGGGGATCTTCAAAAGGGCGAGAGGTGCGTATGCAAATGATTAAATTACTATTACTAACAACGAAGTAGATATTGCAACATGGATTATCTTTTTTTTTCTAGTCTAATGGGTATTACTTTGTTAACAATCGTGGCGAGCTACGACATTGCGTGTCAATGGTCACGTAAATTTTTGGATCGAGCGCAGGCGATGCCGTCTAACATGAAGCTGCCAAATTGGATTAAAGTTCTCTTCAAAGTCCCCAAATTCCACCTACCCCCGCATGTAAAGGAATGTCACGGTCCATATTCCTTCAACTACACGAAAGGCGTTGGGCGCACGGATGGAGAAGGGGTAGAGCGGAATTGGTCCTGGCTAAATTCGGCTGCAAGATCAATATCTGTGATGGGACCCGGTGCTCGCGAGGATACAATAGACGATTTGTGTGGGTTTTCCAATTGGAAAAAGACGGTGGATTTTGGTATGTCATATTTTTAACGGGCGAAAATAGCTGCTGACTAAACTAGGCAACTCCCTTTTGCGTAAAATGGTACTCGCTATACCGCAGGCAATGCTACACAGCCGCGCCTTTCACGCGTTCACGGAGGGATTGCGCAATGGACACGAGGAGGATCTGCAGAAGTGGGAGAAGATGGTGCGGGCGTGGGAGGTGGATCAAACACTGGAAAACCCATATGAATATCCGGAAGTTGAAGGTGCGTATTTGATTGCTAAACTATGTCCTTGGCTGATTGTGGGTAGCGGAGACCCTGGCAGATGTAATGCGACGCATTTCAGAGGAAGACCACACCCGAGTTATGGATAATGGCGCCGCGGCTTTGGAAGTGAAGCCGGCGGCATTTCTCCTCGCGGGGATAGAGATTGAGGAGGATCAGTGAGTGATTAGCGTGTGATGGATACCATCTGACACTTCGGCAGGGAGGCGGTGTTACTCGAGGCGAAGCGCCGAAACCGAACTACTATCCAGGCGACCACCCTCCAGCGGCAGCGCACACTACTGTTGGGGAAGATTTCGAAGCTGGACAGTGTCCAGCAGCAATACATGCCTGGACTGGGCCAGTGGGCAGCACGCCAACCGTTGCCGCCTACGCGTAACACTGCCAAGCCAGAAACCATCAAGATCTGTCTTCCTTCATCTTTGCCGGCTGCAGATCGGGAGGCGGTGTGCGTGGCGGGTCTAGCAAAGCAGGAGGAGGAGCTCCGAAATGCTCAGGCTGAGGATGCGCTACGTGATCTTCGCAGAGGGCTGCGAACACGGACTTTTGCTCATCGGTTCAAGCGGAAGCATCTTTCAGGTCAGGGAATGTATACAAAGAGTCGATCTTTGTTGGACTCGATTGAGGATCGGATCCGTGATGCCTCATCATGGTATCGAGTTGCAAGAGCGGCGCTCTTGGCACTGCGCGGGGCCGGCGAATGGGAGCAGGTGTTGCAGGTGTTGCGGAAGGAAGATGTACGCGGGATGAATGAACGCTCGATGAACGAAGCAGAGAAGGAGGACAACAAAAAGGCGCGGGTGCTTGCGGGATTGCCTGCCGAAGGGCAGGAGGATGAGGTTGATGAATACGGTGAGCCGGTGGAGCTCACGGTGCTGTTCAATTTGGAGACAGGAGAGGGTACACGCCAGCTGTTGTGGATTTGGTATACCGGTGCCCAGGTTAGATCGGATAAAGCCGCCGATGGGTCGTTGCATCCAGGTAGGTGTCAATCATTACAAGATGGGATTTTAATTAATCATGATACAGACATACGCGTAGAATGGATGAAAGGACGGGCGCAGGCAGATCGGTGGAGGGAAGAATTATTGTTTGTGGAGGAGGAAATGGGGCGGGTGCTCGGGTTCGGAGAATGGAAGGTAAAGTGGTGGGAAGAACGATTGGAACCGACGCGCGCTGTGGGGCGTCCAGCATTATCACCGGAACTTGCCGAGGGTCTGCGGGCATATGCTCTGGAGCAGATTGCCCGTGAGAACAGTTGGCTAAGGGCGTGGACCGGGAAGTGGGCTGCAATTCGTGCACGCACAGCCACTGTCCTCGAGAACCATCTCGTTGATGTCACGGAAGAGGTTTTGATTCCCATCGAGGTAGAGTTGGATGACGATGACGAGGAGCAGGCACTATTTGAGGACGATGGGATGGAGGATGATGAATAATTTCTATTTCCGGACACAAGCGTTGTTTCTTTGTACATATTTACTAAACGGTTCTCGAACGGCAATTCCCATTTTGACTGTACACCGATAAGCGATGTTTCTTTGTACATATTTACTAAACGGTTCTCGAACGGCAATTCCCATTTTGACTGTACACCGATAAGCGAGGCCCAATATGATGGCTGAGGGATGCCGTGTCAGTGGCATCACTTTTAATTATTAATATATGTGTGCCGAGGCCAGTGTGATGCCAGGGAGATGCCGGTAGACTGCCGTGGCTGAGAAATAGAGCCGTACAAGGCGGCAGGTGGTGCGCGTTGCAATGTGCACCATGCGCGGAAGTGCAATGGTCCCGTATTAACATGCACCCTTGGTTGGGCCAGTGCACATTGCAATATGGGTACAGGTACTGTTGAGGGTTGCGCGCGTGGAGGGTATCCCATGGCCCGACGCTGGCGGTCGACGTGGTACATCTCATCGGCGAGGCCGAGGAGATGGGAGCAGGCAGCGATAGCGCGCGAAAAGGAGTCCTGCGCAAGCGTGAGCTCCGCCTCGAGGTCATCCCTCTCGTGGCAGAGCTCCTCGTGCCGATCCTCCAAGACGTTCCGCTCATTTAGATTGGCAGCCTCCGTCCTCAGCTCCGCCTCGCGAATGCTGTTGTGCGTATCACGCTCAACAGCCTTCACAGCGAGCCACGCTTCCTTCTGTCGATGGGCGAGGGTGACCTTGTAATTGGAGCGCCGCGCTTCCTCGAACCGATTTTGGGCGACAAGGTTGACGTGTTTCTTGTAACCGTTGGTCCACTCCTTGTACGCCTGTTCAAGAAGGAACGAGGACACCCCCTCGGGAGCCTTGTACTCGGGATAGGGGGCGGGGTCAACAAGAGGGTCAAGGGATTCGATTTCGGAGAAATCGGGAGACGGCATACCCGACGGCGGCCACTCGAACGGAGGACGAACGAAAACAGGAATCGGTCTCCAACTGGGATCGGAGACCTCCTCCAGACGCGGGACCACATATGCTAATTTCCCCTTGACGTTGCGGAGCTGTTTCTCCAGCCCGTCCACCGAATGCTCCATGGGAGCGGGAGCCTCGCCCTGGAATACCATCCTGCGACGGAGCAGCTGCTCGCGCAATGACAGCGGTGGCGGAAGAATGGACAACGACGGGACGGGCGCATCCTCAGCCATTGGCGAGGGAGGATGCGCAACTCCGCTCGTGGGACGCGACAGACCAGCTACAAGCTTGCGGGAAGATGTACTCCCCAGAAGCTTGATCTTGAAGCTGGTTCCAGCCTCGGGCAGAGGGGGACGCGGAGTCGAAACCTCTGAGCGCAGAGGATGACGTGAAGTCAACTCCTCTGTATTTCGGGGCCGACGTGAAGTCAGGCCCGTCGCACTCTTGGAACGACGTGGAGTCTATTCCGCCAATTCGTCAACCTCCTCGGAGGATTCATCCCCTCTTTCCCGAATTCCCTGGAGGCGTGCGCGCCGCTCGCCTTGGACTTTCTTCTTACGACTCCCCCGAGGAAGGACGGCGGGGGTGGCTTCACGATCAGAGATTGGCTGCAGAGCCGGCGCAGTAGAAACTGCGGGCTGTGGGCCTCGGGTTTGGGCACGACTCTTGCGGCTGGTGGACATTGAAGACGGTGGCGAAAGCAGAGGAGACTTGGCAAGTTTTGCCAATTAGAAGCGCATCACCGGCCAAACAAATCCACACAACCGATCAAAATACGTCAAGGAACTGCGCATCATTCTTCTAGCGAAACACGGAGGAATTTCCTAAATATAGCATCAATTCACTCGCAAAACCTTAACCTGAAAGGACCTGCAGGCACAGCGGAGAAGGAGTAGAGTGCAGAGGAGTGTAAAAGAGTGAACTTGACGCAGGAGAAATTTGGGAGTTTTACGCCCGGCCGTAACCAAGATATTCGCTGGTGGAGACGAACTCCGCTTAATATGACCGGGCATCAGAAATCAGGAAAATATTCAAGGAGCAAGAAAACGACGCGTTTCACGCGTCTAAAATTCACAATAAATGGACTACACTAAAGAAGAACCCGACGGAAACGACTCCGCTGGGTTATCAGGCAGTTTTGGTACCGCGGAGGAACCAAAATTGAAATTTATATATGGACAACGGAACACCAAACGCGCACGCTTAAGCCAACGGAACATACGGAATTCAGGATATATGCGAATGTAATCTCCGGAGAGAAAGTCGCTGAGCGACGAAGTGGGGCCCTACAAAAACCAAAGAAATACCCCAAAAAGGAATTGATCACTCCTGGGCGACAACGGAATAACGAAAAATGGACGGCTAAAAGGAACGAATTTCAAGAAAACGACATGAACGCAAAGACACGAACTTACGAGAAACGACGTTCGCAGACTTAAAAATCTGATAAAAGTTACGCGGGAGGAAACCCCAACCTGGTGAACAATTCGTCATATTCGGCGGATACGTCGTCCAAAGGGCAGCTTCCAGGAGAAAACGGACCTGGCAGGGAGTCAGCTCCTAAAAGTAAGAAGGACACGGCACAGAGACGAGCGAAACGGAAAGAGGGAAGAGCGGAGGACGAAACCATGACAGGAACGGAGAAAATTAAAATCAGAAAAGTAAAAAGGACTCGGAGCGGTGCCGCAACCGAAATAGCCAAACGATTCCAAGAGGGTGCAAAATTAAGATGCCGCCCGGAAATAGAGCCCAAACAGGAGTTGAACCTGCGTCCTTTGCGTGCAACATCCATACAGAACTAGGGATGCGCAATGCAATAACCGTTATGCTATTGGGCCGATACCCGGAAAAGAAGATGGAATGGCCACGACGGGATTGGAAGGAAAAACGGAACAGCAAATGACAGGAAATCAAAAATTACGGCCGTCCTGGAGTAAAGCCCAAGCAGGAGTCGAACCTGCGACCTTCGCATTAATTCATCCACGCAGAGCTAGGAATGCGCGATGCAATAACTGTTATGCTATTGGGCCGACAACCTTGGAAAAGAAGGCGGAGCGGACACCGCGAAATCGAAAACAAAATGGAGCGGCATAGGACGTCAAAAATTACGGCCGTCCTGGAGTAAAGCCCAAGCAGGAGTTGAACCTGTGACCTTCGCATAAAATCCATCCTCATTGAGACATGGATGCGCGAAGCAATAACTGTTATGCTATTGGGCCGACGACCATTTAAAAATCATGATCGCCATGCAACAAAAGCCCAAGCAGGAGTCGAACCTGCAACTTTCGCGTTATTCATCCTAACTCAGATAAGGATGCGTGGAGCAATAACCGCTATGCCATTGGGCCTATAACCCAGTCATTGGATCCCAAAAATGGGAGGCATGAGCAGAACGGATGACGCGACGGAGACGGAGACTCGATTCCCATAAAAGTAAAAAGGACATGCAACTCACCGGTAATCGCCATGGGAAGAGTCAACACCCTCAAATTGCCAGGAAGGAGCGTAACTGGAGGGCCAAACAGGCTGTTTAGGGAAAGCGGAGATGTGAGGAGGTCCGGATAAATCAAGCGACCATCGACATCGTATCCTGTGAATTCCCCTTCGCAGCGAGTATAAGCTATGGTCTGCCCGGCTGCTTTGAGGAGTGGAATGAGTATTTTGGGGTTCAGGCTGTGGGGGAGATCGTATCCGGAGGTGTGTTTTGTGAACTAGCAAAGGTAAGTGAGGAGCTGGAACATTTGGAAGGATTCGCCAGGGATGGTCAGGTCGACCAGGGCCCACGAAATATCGCCAGCCTGCGCCAACTCATGACGAACAGCTAAACTCCGGGTAACGAGACGCTGTGGAAATCAATTGGGATCGGACTGGGCGGAGTACCTCCAAAACAAGACTACGCACCAAATGCCACATTACGACCTGGATCCAATCGCAGATCTTGTTATGCTCAGCAATAGGTAGCGACGGAATTCCAGCCTTCACAGAGAAATTGTCGGTGGTGGCGCGCATAATTTCGTGCACCATTAGGCGAATACGGAACTGAAGAAAGCTCGGAAGACCTTCTCCAAAAAGGTGGAAAGGAGCGGTCAGGAATTGCTTGTCTAAGCATAGACTGAACAAGAGCGGCGCGGCGTCGTAAATGGTGAATCACCGAGTGGAAGACATGGAGAATTCGACCTGGGAGGACACAAAACAGGCAACTTCGCTAGGCTCCTTTTATAAGGAAACGGCCCCCTTGGGCAGGCAACCTGGAAGGAGTTACAAATTATCGCATAAAATTTCCCATCTACATGGATCTACAACAGCATGTCTAGGAACAGACGAGGATCACCCGTGGACGCAATTCTTGATTCCCGACGGAGTCAGGAGGAAGAAGATTCTCTCCAATTAAGGAGCGGAGTCGGAGTTCGGCGTATTGGGACGAGTAGGAATAATCCGCTGCGACTCTGGACATTTAGGAAATTGGTACGCCTCCTTTCCAAGGGAGGGATCGTAGCGAAGGAGCCCCTGGCCGAATTGGTGGCGGAGTCGACCTAGAGCCTTGGCCTCAGAAACCTGGTCCGGCTTCGTGTGGTGACCTATCCCATACACAAAAGGGTCGGCGGAGTTGTGTGTGAAACCTGGCGCGTCCCACGGCTGAGTGGCGTACTCCGCACCAATCGCCATGCAATATTGGAGATGGGCAATAGCACCGAACATGTTCTCTCGGAGAGCGCGATCTTCATCTCTGTCGAAACCGACGAGCGCCACAAAACTCTCCGCCATGGCAAAAGTCACGGTGCAGAAGTGCGGGATATGGTATTGCACGGGCAGCGCAGGATCCAGGGACTTCGCTACCTTTACGGAGCCAAGAAGTAGCTCAAAAAGGGATAGGATCAGCAAAAGGCTTCGCTAAAGAAACGCCAGCATGGTTCACCATATTGGAAAGCATGACTTTTACACCGACACGAGCTTGCTGGATGATCTCCGGCGGAATGGAACTTATATTCCGATCCTGGAAGGTTTCGTGAAGAGCCTGGCCTAGGCACCGCACATGGGTGATCCACAGCGACTCAAGGTATTTCGGCATGCGCGTGTCGGAAACAGCGGGCAATATAGAATGGACCTCCACCAATAGACTTGGGAGTACAGAGGGGTTCTCCATGACGAACTCCGCTGTGCCATCAAGATACAGGAAAGACGAGATGGACTGAAGATATTTCTGGGACAAATTCCTAGTGATTCGCTCGCTTTTATAGCTGGCAGACAAAAAGCATAACTCCATTGGTCAAAAACAGAACGGAGGTTTACGAAGCGGAGCTAAAGGACAAGAAAGGAATGGGCGTCTACGAAAACGACTCAGGAAACCACTCCGCTCCGGCGACATCAGTGAGCAAGGTCAACAAATCCTTCCCCGCGCGATCCGCGTCCTGGACCCGTTCCCTCAGCCAATACCGCTCCACTACCCAAGGGTCGATGATTTCCTGGGCCTCGAGTAGGAGAATTTGGTCTACCGTCCAGGAAGGAACGCATGGAACGTGGCCCATGAAGGAGGAATAAGGAATGTTGATAGGATCGGAGGAGCTGGAGCGATCGCCACGAGCTACCTTGAGCATTCGATCGACGAGGGCGAGTCTCCCTTCGTCTTGACGGGCGTAGGGCCTGTACCAACAGTACCTGTACCCATATTGCAATGTGCACTGGCCCAACCAAGGGTGCATGTTAATACGGGACCATTGCACTTCCGCGCATGGTGCACATTGCAACGCGCACCACCTGCCGCCTTGTACGGCTCTATTTCTCAGCCACGGCAGTCTACCGGCATCTCCCTGGCATCACACTGGCCTCGGCACACATATATTAATAATTAAAAGTGATGCCACTGACACGGCATCCCTCAGCCATCATATTGGGCCTCGCTTATCGGTGTACAGTCAAAATGGGAATTGCCGTTCGAGAACCGTTTAGTAAATATGTACAAAGAAACATCGCTTATCGGTGTACAGTCAAAATGGGAATTGCCGTTCGAGAACCGTTTAGTAAATATGTACAAAGAAACAACGCTTGTGTCCGGAAATAGAAATTATTCATCATCCTCCATCCCATCGTCCTCAAATAGTGCCTGCTCCTCGTCATCGTCATCCAACTCTACCTCGATGGGAATCAAAACCTCTTCCGTGACATCAACGAGATGGTTCTCGAGGACAGTGGCTGTGCGTGCACGAATTGCAGCCCACTTCCCGGTCCACGCCCTTAGCCAACTGTTCTCACGGGCAATCTGCTCCAGAGCATATGCCCGCAGACCCTCGGCAAGTTCCGGTGATAATGCTGGACGCCCCACAGCGCGCGTCGGTTCCAATCGTTCTTCCCACCACTTTACCTTCCATTCTCCGAACCCGAGCACCCGCCCCATTTCCTCCTCCACAAACAATAATTCTTCCCTCCACCGATCTGCCTGCGCCCGTCCTTTCATCCATTCTACGCGTATGTCTGTATCATGATTAATTAAAATCCCATCTTGTAATGATTGACACCTACCTGGATGCAACGACCCATCGGCGGCTTTATCCGATCTAACCTGGGCACCGGTATACCAAATCCACAACAGCTGGCGTGTACCCTCTCCTGTCTCCAAATTGAACAGCACCGTGAGCTCCACCGGCTCACCGTATTCATCAACCTCATCCTCCTGCCCTTCGGCAGGCAATCCCGCAAGCACCCGCGCCTTTTTGTTGTCCTCCTTCTCTGCTTCGTTCATCGAGCGTTCATTCATCCCGCGTACATCTTCCTTCCGCAACACCTGCAACACCTGCTCCCATTCGCCGGCCCCGCGCAGTGCCAAGAGCGCCGCTCTTGCAACTCGATACCATGATGAGGCATCACGGATCCGATCCTCAATCGAGTCCAACAAAGATCGACTCTTTGTATACATTCCCTGACCTGAAAGATGCTTCCGCTTGAACCGATGAGCAAAAGTCCGTGTTCGCAGCCCTCTGCGAAGATCACGTAGCGCATCCTCAGCCTGAGCATTTCGGAGCTCCTCCTCCTGCTTTGCTAGACCCGCCACGCACACCGCCTCCCGATCTGCAGCCGGCAAAGATGAAGGAAGACAGATCTTGATGGTTTCTGGCTTGGCAGTGTTACGCGTAGGCGGCAACGGTTGGCGTGCTGCCCACTGGCCCAGTCCAGGCATGTATTGCTGCTGGACACTGTCCAGCTTCGAAATCTTCCCAACAGTAGTGTGCGCTGCCGCTGGAGGGTGGTCGCCTGGATAGTAGTTCGGTTTCGGCGCTTCGCCTCGAGTAAACACCGCCTCCCTGCCGAAGTGTCAGATGGTATCCATCACACGCTAATCACTCACTGATCCTCCTCAATCTCTATCCCCGCGAGGAGAAATGCCGCC